CAGCCACTATAAAAGAAATGGGTAGTTACAAGCAGAGTCCAAACGATTAAAAACTACCCAAGAAGTATAAAAGGAAGAGGAAAGCAATGAAAAAATCCCGACAAAATTCACTCTCGAACAGAGAATATGTAATTTACTTTTTCTTAGATTAACTTTAATTACTTCAATTTCCTTGTACTTGTGTGCTTGCGCCCCTTGGAGGCATCTTGTTTGTATCCAAACTGTAATCTTCATATTGGATAAACATCCCTTTTTGGGACTTTGTTCCAAGAGGTTTGTCCATTTCACAATTGTCTGATCCCTTTTTAATTGTTAGCAAGTAAATGCGCGAAACAGAATGGGTTTTCGTTTAAGATTACGATTGAGCAAATGATTGAGTTTTTTATGCTTGGATTGAATAAGGTTGGTTCTTGGATTCATTTCAATGTTTCGAAGCTGTAGAAAAGAATTAGAGTTGAGATTCAAGAACTCATTTTTTGGTGCCATTATTGGCAAGGAATTTTCATTCTCATTTATAAATTCTTCATGAAAAATGAAGTCCACCCTCAATTATTGGCATTTACTAGAACTAATAATTTAAGCCATGTTTGATTGCAATGAATTTCATGGAAAATGTCACATTCGAGAAAAATGAATTCCACTTTAGCCATTTGATTGTAACGTGAAAATGGGAATCGAATTCCAAGAAAAACAACTTTAAACTGTATTTTCTTTGTTTTCATGGAAAACGAATTCCTATGAATTTTGTGAGTTTTTATTTTCCAACTAACATGGAATTTGAATTCATTTCCACATTTACCTATCAAACGGATCTTCAAAGAAACTTTGAACAAGTCAAGACTCTAAATACATTACTCGAAAGCAAAGAGTTTATACAATCTAATCCTTTAAACACGGCATAAATTTTTAGGCAGAATATGAAAAAGATATCTGTATATATACAAGGATGATCTCTTGCCATGATAGACATGAACTTATTGTGCTCACAGCGAATGTGGTAATGCCACATCAACCGTGAGCACATTTTATCTCATTCTTCGTGAGCAAGCGAACAATTCTATCCATATATAAACTATATAATGAATGATATTTTAACATTTTTCTTATGAATTTGACAAAACATTATAATATTTAGAGGGTGTTTGGTAGAGATTAAAATCGGATTAAAATTGAAAAATTACCCGTTATTGTTGACTTTTATTAGATGAGTGGGACCCAATGACGACTATATTTTTAATTTTAATTGGATTTTAAACCGTACCAAACAGGCCTTAGTACTATAATACGAAAACTATTGCCCAATTGGCACCCACAAGAATTCGATGTCTATACTCAAAAAATTGAGTCCACAAGTCTTTTGGCCCATTGATATCAATCATCATTGATGACGTTGAATTTTAACAATAAAGTGAATCACGTTCACAACCACAATTTTTAAATTGTCACTTTATAATGTCACAATCTACTTGATGTTGAAAATTCTAACTAATTCTTACAATAACTTTTTATTTATATATTTTTTAGGGCCAATCGACGCTTTAATGGAGATCCTCAGTCGAGCACAACATTTAGCATGTTCAAGAACAAGCGATCATCGACCTCTTATCGTACTCAAATGCCTAAATCAAATCCATTCAAATGCTGGCCCAGAAATATCCGATGTTGATAAGCATTTGCATTCTCCGTGGATCAAATTTAGGCGATCCAAAAAACAAATAATAATAATAATTATTATTAAAATTAAAATATATGAAATTGCAGTAAATTTCAAATTTATTTATTTTGTGTGCTTCATGTTTTTTTCACCCAATTCAATAAAACCTTCTTGTTCGTTAAAATTCCAATTGTGCCATTACATCACAATAACAAGAAAAACAAAAATTGAAAAATCGTCCACGAAGCACAATTCTTACCGTTGTTATCTGGAGCTCCGAATGTGTGTGGCCCTAAGGATCCAATCAAGGGCCCGGATAATTTGGCGATTCAAGAAGTCCAAGAAGGCGGCTACGCGCGGCCAGAGGCGGTGGAAAAAGCCGTTTCCGGCAGAGTCAGGGGAGATGGACATTGGCTGGAGATAAGCCCAGGCCGCCTGCTTCACGAGGCGATTGCGGATGCAGATATCGGACTCTAACTGAGCTTGATGGGACGAGCTGGGCCTCGGTGAATTGACTGCAACTGAGGGTAAAAGGTCTTTTAGTGAAGTGTAGTTATGGGAGGCGGGCTTGATTGATAACAGCTCGATATCATCGGAGGGAAATGACGAGGATGAAGAAGATGAGGTGAAGGTGGAGTTGGTAATAGTTGTCGCGGTGGTGGTGGAAGAGACGGAGTTGTGTTGGAGAAGGATGAGATTGGAGGGGAGCACCTCAACTGAGGCCGAGATGGAGTTCCGGCGACGGATAAGAGGAAGGCCTTCAGCTTCTGGCCGCGGCGGCGGTGTAGATACGAAGTCTTTCATGGCTGCTGGACTGCTAGACAGAGATTTTAGAGAGAGAGAGAGTTCTTTAAGTAGTGATTCAGATGGCGCATAATAAGATTTTTGTTTGTTTGGAGTAACGCAATTATTGGCGTACGCTTTTCCATATGCCACTGCTTATTGGTCAAATGAAAATTATTTATTACAAAATAAATAAAATATAAATTGTAATTATGTTACTATTCGTTTTTTAACGTAAGGTTATTTAAAAAATGCATTCTATAAAATTAGGTCTTTTATTGCAATATCAGACTTTATAATTTGATTCTTCCCATCCACTATTCCTTAACATTCCGATTACAACTGAAAATCTCTTGTGGCCGAAAATCTTTATTGACATGCTGACAACGTTAAAAAAGATTATCCCAAACAAAACGCACTGATTAAAAAAGACAAAAACTAACCATGGAGCAAGTATAAACTCATAAACAACTAATTCCACGTAAATTCGACTTTCCCCTTTTGCTAGGATGGTAAGAAAATCCCATCTTTAAATGTGACATAAATAAATTTTCTTGGAGGAACAAAAGGGTGCAAGGATCTGCCCCTTTAAGCCCTATTTCTATCCTGCTCTTGTTGTCACATTTCCTTTCGATCTTCAATCATATTGGTCGACGGCATGGTTTCAATTTGAAGTCCTGGAGTTGGAGATGGTGCAACCAAGGGCGGAGGTAGGGGTGAGCTTTAGCCCAGCCCTACCCCCAGCCTAGAAGCAAAATTTTATTAATATTTGGTTAATTGAGTTTAAATATTTGGTTAATTGTGTATCATTCCAGTTTTAGACTTGGATTGTAAATAAAGTTAATTGGGCTAAAATTAATATTTGGGATGGACAAATTTTATTCTTTTTAATTTGGGAAGATTTCACATTCAAGAGAATAAGTTTAGCATATTGCAAAAATAAAAAAACAAGTTTGAAATTTCCAAAATCAGATTTTTATTAAAAATTTTTAAATTTTTATTTATGAAATAAATTAATTTATTATTAAATATTTAATTCTAATTAACCTATCCC